TTCATTTTGAGTGAGAGAATTGGAGAGCAGAGAAGTGGCATGATTAAAAGGATCACTCTGGCTGCCACATGAAGTGTAGACCAAAGGAGAGCAGGAGGCTGCGTGGAGACTGATTAAATTACAATAACATAAGTTTGAGATAATGGTGGCTTGGGCCAGTGGAGGCAATGTGAAGTGGTTGGGTTCTAGACATATTTGGAAGGTAGAACTAACAGGGTTGCTGATGAATTGAACATAGGTATGAAAGAGAGAGGAGTCAGGATGATTCTAGGGTTTTGGCCTTGGAGCAACTGGAGAAAGAGTTTCTATTTTCTGAAATGGGGAAATGCAAGAGGGAGAGGAGATTGGGGGAGGAGGTGAGAACCAGAGTTGAGCTTGGGACACTTCAGTTTGAGATACTTACTGCACACCCAAAGGGAGGCGTTGGGCCGGGAGTTGAATGTGTGAGTCTGCAGCTCGGGGGAGAGATGAAGGGAGGAGACATAGCCTTGGAGAGATGAAGCATGCCAGTGGTGTTTAAAGCCAGGAAACTGGATGAGATCATAAGGTAGTGAGCACAGAAGAGAAGAGCCCAGGGTCCCCCAGCACTTACAGCAGGTGGGGGAGATGAGAAGGTTCCAGCAAAGAGGAGCAGGAGAGGAGAACACAGAGAGAATCCAACAAACAAATCATTTTAGGGAGAATAGATGATTGAGAGCTCAAGTACTGCTTATAGGTCACGTACTGTGAGCTCCTTCTATGTAAGGCAGAGAAGGAGGTGCCTTAAGAGACAGAGAAGAAGTGGTGAGGGGCAGGAGGGAGCCAGGAGGATGCCAAGCCTGGAAGCCAAGGACAGAGAACCTTTCAGGACAAAGGACTTGGTCATCTGAGAGATCAAGAGAGAGCGGAGTGGTAAACATCCACGGGAGTTAGCAACATCAAACTCATTGTAAACTTGTGTATGAGTCTCCTAGGGCTGCCCGAACAGAGCACCGCAACCTGGGGGGCTTAAACAACAGAAATTTATTCTCTCACGGTTTTGGAGGCCAGAAGTCCAAGATCACAGTGTCAGCAGGGTTGGTTCCTTCCAAACGCTGTGAGGGACAATCTGTTCCAGACCTCTCTCCTTGGCTTGTTGACAACTGTCTTCTCCCTGTGTCTTCACATCATCTTCCCTCTGTGCCCAAATTTCCGCTTTTTGTGAGGACACCAGTCATATTGGATTAGGGCCCATCTTAACTAACGTATGACCTCATCTTAACTAATTACGTCTGCAGTGACCCTATTTCCAAATGAATTCACATTCTGAGGTACTAGGGCTTGGGACTTCAACCTAAGAATTTTGGGGGGACCACGGTTCAGCCCATAATACCTTGTAAGAACTATTTTAATGGCAGCAGTGAATGTGAAGGAGTCTGTTGAAAAGTTGGACTGGGAAGGAGAGCAGAGACGTATGTGAGTAGCTGGAGAAGGATGAAAGTTCAAGGAAGATGAGCGTTTTCTCAGTGAGAGAGTCCTGAGCGTGTCTCAGATTCACAGGGAAGCATCCAGTTGGAGGGAGCCGCTGGAGAGAAAAAGGGCCCTGAGGAGTGTAAGGAGTGAGGAGGCAGGAGGCCAGACACGCCATCAAACTAGACGGTGGAGTTGCTTGTAAAGGTGGTCGTCGAAGGAATATGGTGAGGAGTGTGAAGAGGAGAGAGTGCTCTAACTTTTAGTGCAAATGTATTCACAGTTTTTATCCAAGACCTGTCTAGGCCAAGTGATGCACAGGTCAAGACAGAACGTGGTCAGGCAGTGTGGACAGGCAGCATCTGAGGCCAAATATATGCATCAGCCATGTGATTGTGGAATGTGAGCTGCATGAGGACAAGTTCTGACATCTTTTAATCTTCAGATCACTGTCTCCCATCACTGCATCCAGAATCTAGTTGGTACTGAACGGAGTGTTTGTTGATTGACTATATGAGTGGATGGATGGATGGATGGATGGATGGATGGGTGGATGGAAGGAAGAATGGGGAATGAGTACATGAGGCCACCAAAGTAGCTGCTCTGATGGTAGCTCCATGGACAGAATGGCACACATAGTGGGTGATCTCCCGCCATCCTCACTGCAGGTGCATTTGTCCCAGACCCCCCCATACTGCATTGTGTTCAGTTCCTTTCAAAGCAAGGCTGAGGAGCTGAGTCACGTTCCTGCTGAATGAGCCCATAGGAAAGGTTCAAGAGACCTGACATATTTCATCCAGACAACGATGTACCTGTCTCAAAATGTTTGAAGGACAATCCTGTGGGAGTGATGGGGCAAAAGCATTGGGGGAGGGGAGCTGCTGGCTCCTCAGCACAAACCAAGGCCGTGACCCCAATTCAAGGTCATTGTGGTCCTCACCACCATGCACCTGCCTTAAAAAAAGTTTCCTTTAACCATATCCTTGAGGATGCGGTAAAAAATAATTTTATTAAGACTTGAGCCTTGAATACGTAGCTTTTTAATATTGCGTGTGAGGCAGTGGGAAGAGCTCACACGTGCCTGCACTGCACACCCGCGGTGATGGCTGCCTGGAGGAGGAGCACCTGTGACAGTGTCCAGCTGCAAGCCGAACCGGCCACTTTTTGTGGAATGTCACAATTGAGAAAGTGACTGGCAAACTCTCATTAGTAGGACTTGGGTTTTGTGGAGAGATTTTCTCAAAAATGAACCAAATGAGCCTGAAGAAAAACAACTGAGAGTATTTGTTGCTGAGAGTAGAATTCGAGCTTTCTAGAGAAAATTAAAATTTTGAGAGTCTTAGAGTCATCTCTGTGAGTTTGAGAGCTTCCCATTACTTAGACTTTGGTTATGAGATTGGTGGATTATTAATGAATGCGGTTTTTGATATGATGAAATGTGTCAACATTGGGAAGATCCACATAACCATTATTTTTCACTTGACTGAGAGCTGATGTTACAAAATCATGTGTGGCTGAAAGATCTGTTCAACATGCAGGACAGACCAGTGGATTTTAATGTGAGAGAGAAGGAAAAGTTTATTGATGTGGTTTCAGATTCCACATCACAAGCAGCCTTTAGGAAGCTACCACTTGTCAAGTTGTGGTGTAGAATCAAAGCAGAATATTCACAGTTATCTAAAAGGCTGTTAAAATATTCCTCCCTTTTCCAGTTGCACAGCTGTGTGAGGCCAGACTTTCTTCCTATATGTCAACCAAAACAACGTATTTCACCAGATTGAGTACAGAAGCAGATACGGGCACCCAGCTACCTTCCATTAAGCCAGACCTTAAAGAGACTTCAAAAAATGCAGAACAGAAACACTCTTCTCACTAACTTTTTTTGTTTTGAAAAATACATTATTCATTAAAAATGTTACTTATGTGAAAATGTAATGGGTTTATTATTGTTTGTTGTTGTTGTTGTTGTTGTTTGCAGGGGAAGATTCGCCCTAAGCTAAGATCTGTTGCCAATCTTCCTCCTTTTTTCTCCCATTTGCCTCCCCAAAGCCCCAGTACATAGTTTGTATAGTTGTGAATTCTTCTGGTTCTTCTGTGTGAGCCGCCACCACAGCATGGCTACTGACAGACGAGTGGTGTTGTTCCACACCCAGGAACCGAACCCAGGCCACCAAAGTGGAGTGTGCAGAACTTTAACCACTAGGCCATCAGGGCTGTCTCTATTGTTATTTTTAAATGAATTAAAAATGCATATTTTAGACATTTCTCAGTTTTAATATCTAACAGAGTATTAATAGCTATAACTCACATAAATGAAAGCTCTTTGGGATACTCAAAAATTATCAAGAGTGTAAAGGGCTCCTAAGGCCAGAAGTTTGAGAAGCACCATTGCAGAGTTGTCTTAAGCATGGTCATCTCCTCTAACCGTTAGATTCTAGTCTTTGGTGGATTAATGGAACTAACCTGGTAATCTTTTCTTTCTATATGTGGAATAAATATGACACTTGTGTCAAAGTCAGTTTCCTTTTTTTTTATTGAGGTCACATTAATTTATAATATGTAAATTTCAGGTGTACATCATTACATTTCAGCTTCTTTATAGACTGCATTGTGTTCACCACCAAAAGTCTAGTTTCCATCCATCGCCACACACATGTGCCCCTTTATCCTGTTCACCACCACCCCCCACCCCCAGATTGGTAACCACCAATCTGTTCTCCGTATCTATGTGTGTGTTTGTTTTCAAAGTCAATTTCTTTTACAAATATTAACTACATATCCCTCCTGAAATTCCCAAACGTTAGATTTCAAAGTTTGCTTTTTAAAATGTAGAAATTGTATAGTTACAGAAAAAAAATTATTATTTGGAACTCATAAAATATAGGGCCTTAGACTTACTAAAGCCTAAAGCCTGTGTGTGTATTTCATGTGCTATTACTAAGTTTGTAATTTGAACAATTCCATCCTTCTGTTTAGTTTCAAAATCCTGTGTTTATCTTGAATTTTAAACAGGAAGAAATGATTTGTGCTTCTGCCTTCATTCTTAACTCAAGCACAGAGTATCTCAAAAATTTAAAAAAAAAAAAAGAGGAAGAAAAGTACAGTCTGTTTTAAAGAAAGATGTGTCTGTCTCAGAGTAACAATTTCCTTGAGGAAGGAAACCTGCTCCTGAATGTCACCAGATCCTTCTGCTCCTTAGAGACATTGTGTTTGGCCTATGATTGGCAGGGAACCCCCACCCTAATAACCATCACTCATTTAAGCGAACATAAGAGAGCCAGCCAGGGCCGGCCCCGTGGCTTAGCGGTTAAATGCACGCACTCCGCTGCTGGCGGCCCAGGTTCGGATCCCGGGCGCACACCGACGTGCCGCTTCTGTGGCCATGTTGACGCCACGTCCGACATACAGTGACTGGAAGGATGTGCAGCTATGGCATACAACTATCTACTGGGGCTTTGGGGGAAAAAATAAATAAAATTATTAAACAAAAAACAAAGAAAGCCAGCCAATGGGGAATAGAACAGACAGGCCTGCACTCATTGCTATTTAATTTGCATTTTTTTCCTCCTCAGGAACTTAACTGGCACATTTCCTGACTACCCTAAAGAAGAGGAAGGAGGGTCCGCTATTATTTTTTCTAACAAGACCCCACAACAGGTACTAATATGCTTGAGAAATAAAATGCAAATGTATCAGAATCACATTTCTTTAAACTTAATGGATTTGCTGTGCTATTAGGTCTTTGGTTATTTTCCTACAAATGTTTACATGGATATGCTTTTGATGTTCATCGATGTGTGTACTTTCAAATTTATTTCAGACTGAATTCATCCTTTCTCCTGTCTTACCTTTGAAAGAGATGTGACAGCACATGGTGCTCATCTTAGTGAATTCTGAGCAGCTTGGTTTCAGGAGCCCTTTGTGTTCTGGTCCCTGCTTGCCTCACAGTCTCATCTCCCATCCCCTTTGCCCCCAATCTTCACACCATTAACTCCAGCAGTCCACTCGCCCATCCTTCACGTCTCATGTTGCTATACCTTATTGCCTCCATGCATGTCCCTGCACTCCAGGTGCCCTCCTGCCCTTCCTTCTCTGCTTAATTCCTGCTCACCTGTCAAGACTCAGCTCTTTGCCATATTAATGTTCTTCCAGAGAAACACCATTTGATCATCTCTATAGATATGCCAGGGGCATTTGATGAAATTGACATCTAAAGCTGTTTTTAGAAATGTCTTAATAAGCTAGGAATAGGAAAATTCTTCCTAACCTCAGAGTATTTATCATAGAAACCAAGAGAAGATTTGCATTATACTCAACAGTGAAGTGTGAAAGGCATTGCCATTAAAAGTGAAACTCGAGAACAGTTGCTATCAGAACTATTAATATTTCCCTGCAAGTTGTAACAAATGCAATAAGATAAGAAAAAGAAAAGGATTTATAAATATTTAAAAAGTGGTAATTTCATCATTGTTTTCAGATTATGTGATTATCTTCCTAGAAAACACAATAAACAACAAGAAATTATATTGACATATTATACAGAATTGTACAGAATTATGCTGACAAAACTTTACTGAAGAAAATAAAAGAAGACTTGAGCAAATAGACTGATGGATTGTTTCCCTGGATAGAAAAACTCAATATTTCATGCATTATTACTAAATTTGTAATTCTAACAACTCTGTCCTTCTGTTTAGTTTAGTACTTGTCAATAAGACAAGTACACATTATCTTTCCAATATACTATGTAGTCAATGCAGTTCCAATCAAATCAAAACAATTTTTATTGACAAAATTATTCTCAAGTTTATATGGAAGAATGAATGCATGAAAATAGCCAAAAAATTTTTGAAAAAGAACTATAATCATGGAGAACTTGCCCTACTTGGTATAAATCAGGTTATGAAGATAAAGTCATTAAAACATCATAGTATTGGGAAAAGAATAGACAGATAACAGCAGTAACAAAAATAGCGTGTCACGTGCATGCATGCAGCATTTTCTGGACAAATATTTGGTGTCAGGCCTTAGACAAAACACTTTATGTAAATTAACTTTGTCAATCCTCCCATCCTATGAAGATCTAGCTATTTGGCCACATTCACAGTTAATAAATTGTGGAGCTGAGAGTCAAACCCAAGGAGTCTGACTTCAGAATAGTGTGCTCAGAAACTGACTCAGGTACAAATTGGAATTCAGTAATAAAATGATGACATTTCTCATAAGTGGGGAAGGATGGATTATTCAATAAATAATATTAGGACAATTGGCTCAATTGTCCTAATTGACAAAATTTGTCCCAATTTGACAAAATTAAGTCTATTCTTACCTCCCTTATTATACAAAATAAATTTCAGATGCATTAAGTATTAACACGTAAAATATTAAACCACAAATTATCAGAAGAAATTGTTTGAATATTTAATAATAATGGGGAATAATTTTAGAAGTGTACGACCATAGGCAGAAATCATAGAGAAAATAGGCTGATATGTTTGACTACATAAAACTCAAAAGGCAAAAAATATCATAAATGAAATTAAAATTGTATGATAAACTGAAGAAAATATTTGCAACATATGTGACAGTATGTATCTTTCATATATAAAGAGTTCTTAGAAAATAATAAGAAAAATTTGAACACCCAGTAGAAAAGAAGGCAAAAAATATTAACTTCATTTTAAAAATTTATAAACTCACTGGCAAAGAGATTTAAATATAAAATAATGTTGCTATATCTCTTTTCACCTATAGGATTGGTAAAAATTTTAAATCATGATAGTAACTAGGAGTTGGTGAGCATGTGGAAAAAAGTCACTCTCATACATTGCTGCTGGATACATAAATTAGCATGACATTTTTTGAGGAACATGGACCAAGTAAATATCAAAATGTTTAATGTTCATACCCTTTGACCCATAAATGCTATTTATGGAATTTATACTAGGGAAGTAATAAGACAAGTTGCCGTAGATCAGGGACAACACACTTTTCTCATCAAGGGCCAAATACTAAATATGTGAGGCTGTGGAGCATACACCCTGCCACAGCTGCTTAACTCTGCCCTTAGAGCATGAAAGCAGACACAGACAGTATGTAAATGAGTGGGCATGGCTGTGTTCCAATAAAACTTTATTTACAAACGTGGGCAGCAGGCCAGATTTGGCCCATGCGATGTGATTTGCTGACCCCTGCCATAGATGATTGAAACAGCTATTCATGTCTGCACTGTTTATAGCTTTGACAAAGAGGGGAACAGGCTGAGGTTGGTCAGTAGGGAGTTAGTGAAGTGACGTGAAGCTCTATAAAGCGGTAAAGACCAGAGTTTCTCAACCTCAGCGCCCCCACCCCACAGTCAGCCTCCTCGTGTCCCTCTGCTCCCCTGCGTGAGCCCCGAGCATCAACCGCAAGTGCTCTTCTCCCTATCAAAGCTGACAGCAGTTCCCCGAGCCTTCCCTTCCAGAGCACTCCTGTCCTCCTCCTCCGCACCCCGTGACAGCTTCACCTCCACTCTCTTGTTCGGCAGGTCGTCCAGCCCTGCCTTGAGTGGCTGTCCTTTTGACTTGGTGCTATTTCCCTTTTTCAGATGTGTAGGTCTTGTCCTTCCAGCTAAATCATCAGGACAAGTTGTGTCTTGAAAGCCCATGGCGAGCAGCCAAAGGCGTTTCGTGTTAGTTTAGAAAGGTAACGATTCTAGGATTAGGAATGTTGGTGGAATGTCTGAGCTGTCCATGAGGAACATTCAAAAGTAGAGTTAATGTGTAGTCAAGCTAAAAACAAAGAAAACGGAGGACGTCTGGTTAATACATTAAAATAAAACAAAGGGGGCACAAAGCAGCGCGACTTTAAAAGGCAGGTGATTGAAGAGTCGGGAGAGACACACTAGGTCTGCAGCGTTAGGCAAGCTATGTCCCTTCCGTGTCTCAGTTTGCTCATCTGCAAATGGAGATACTGGCAGCACCTACCTCCCCGGGTTGATGTAATAATTAGATGAAGTGATGCATGTAATGTACTTGGAGCAGAGCTTGGTACATTGAAATCTTTCAGAAGTCTTAGCAGTTGTTACTGAGGGGAGGAGGAGGAGGAGGAGGAGGAGGAGGTAGACCGAGCATAATCATCATAACATGTACATAAATGGTCAGATTTATATTTGTAAAAACAAAAGCAATACAAAATACTTTTTATGACATGAGCATAATCGCATTGATACCAAACCCCCAAAAAGATTGAATACAAATGGAACCACAGATTAGTCTTCCTCATGAGTGTTAATGCAAAAATTCAAGCTGAAATATTGGCACACTAAAACCAGCAGCGCACTAAATGAGCAAAGCACCACAATCAAGTGGCATTTATTCCAGAATGCATGAATGATTCGAGATGAGGCTGTCTCTGAATACACTGCAGCATATGAAGAGACCCAAAAGGGAAAACCATAAGCTTATCACCATGGGTGCTGAAAGGGCATTTTGCAAATTCAACATCCATTTTTGATACTAAAAAATAAAACAAAAAAATTGGCATAATGGATACTTCTTTAACAGACAAAATATTTCCTAGTTCAAAAGCTAATACCATACTTAATGAAATTCACTAGAAACATTTCCACTAATGTCATGAAAAATACAAGGATGGCCATTATCACCATTGTCCCATAGGATCTATTGAACCCTGTTAGACAAGAGAAGGAACATAGAGATACAGAAATTGGAATAGAAGAGGCAAAATGATCACTTTTTGAAGATATGTTCTATCCTTAGAAAAACAAAAAAGAATAAACTGAAAAACTACTTTAAACAATATGGGAAGTAAGATGGGGAATTACAAAATTAATATGCAGAAAGCAAAGCTTTTGTATGTACAAACAGCAGCTAGATAGAAAATATAATAAAAGAGTCCATTTATAACAGCAACAACAACATAAATGTAAAATATCCAGGAATAAACTTAATAAATGTGTTTTCTATGTAAAGAAAAGTTTTAAACATTCTGAGGGATGCAAATGAAGAGATGGAAAAGCATGTTCTTAGGTAGGAATACTCAACATCATAAACACTTTGACTCTCCCAAACATCATCTGTAAATGTAATATGATCCAGATAAAAATACCAATAGCATTATGTTGGAGCTTGGGGGGCGGGACACGTGGAGGGTGACCAACCTGATCTTAAACTTTGGGTAGAAAGTAAATGACCAAGAATAATCAGTAAAATTTTGAAAACAAAAGGTAATGAGGAAGAACTAGCCCTGCCAAGTATTAAAACATGTTATTAAGAGCCCACTGGTACAGGAAAATGACTAGAAAGACACATCAATGGGAAAGAATAGAAAATCAAGAAATATACCCAAATACATATGGAAATTTAGTATTTAATAAAGGTGGCATCTCACCTGTCTAGGGTAAGAAAAAAAGACCCTTTAATAAATGGTATTAGACTAACCAGGTTGTCATCTGAAAAAGAAGAAAATTAAATCTCTATCTCTTTATACTTTACCCCAGAATGATTCCAAATGGATCAAAGATTTAAATGTCAAACAAAACAAAAACACAAAAGAACTAGAATAAGCCAAGGAAGAGATATGTCATAACCTCAGAGTTGGAAAGACCTTTCTACCTCTGTTACACAACCCAGGAGTTGTAGAAGAAAAAAATGATACATTAAATAACACACAAGAAATTTTTTTAACCTGCGTGGCAAAACTGACTCCATGTAAAGTCAAATGACAGATGACACACCAGGAGAACTATTTGTAATGAATATCACAGACGAGAGATCATTTTTCTGATATACAAAGAGCTCCTACCGCTCTATAAAAAAAGATCAATAACCCAATATTTTAAAAAGCCGAAGGATATGAACAGACAGTTCTCAGAAAAGAAAATCTAAATGGATTTGAAACATAAAAAAAGATGTTCAACATATGAAAAGATGATCAACCTCACACATATAAGAGAAATGCAAATTAAAACTACACTGACAGACAGAATTGATAAATTGGACCTCATCAAAATTCAAAACTTCTGCACTTCAAAAGACACCATTAAGAAAATGCAAAGACAAGAACAGACTGGGAGAAAATATTTGAAAACATATACCTGATAAAGGATTGGTATCCAGAATATACAAAGAACTCTTACATCTCAATAATAAGACAATCCAATCAAAAAATGGGCATAAGACTTGAATAGACAATTCACAAAGGAAGATATATGAATAGCTAATAAGCACATGAAAAGATGCTCATCATTAGTCAGTAGGGAGATGAAAATTAAAACTACGAGATACCATTTTATACCCACTGGGATGGCTATAATCAAAAAGACAGATAATGGCAAATGTTGAGGATGTGGAGAAAAGGGAACCCCTCATCTATTGCTGAGGAGAGTGTAAAATGGTGCAGCCACTTTGGAAAAAGTTTGTCAGTTTCTTAAAAATTCAACATAAATTTACCCAATGACCCAGCAGTTCCACTCTTAAGACTCTATCCAAGAGAAATGAAAACATATGTCCACACAAAAAATTTGTGCATGACTACTCATAGGAGCATTACTCATAATAGCCAAAAACTTAGTCTAAATATCCATCAACTGGTGAATGGATAGGCGAAATGTGGTATATCCATGCAGTGGAATATTATTCAGCGATAAAAAAGGAACAATTGATACATGCTACAACATGGGTGAACCTCAAAAACATTATGCAAAGTGAAAGAAGCCAGACACAAGAGACTGCATATTATGTGATTCCATTTATATGAAATGTCCAGAAAAAGTAAATCTATAGAGGCAGAAAGTAGATTAGTGTTTGCCTGGAAAGGAGAGGAGGAGAGGGAAAAGGGATTAACAATTAATGGACATGAGGGGATCTTATTGGGGTGATGGAAATGTTCTAAACCTGATTTATGGTAATGGTTGCACAACTTGGTAAATTTATTAAAAAATGATTGAATTACACAGTTGAAATGGGTGAATGTATGATATGTAAAATATTCTTCAATAAAATTATATATATTAAACAAAAAGAGAGGCTGGCCCGGTGGTGCAGCGGTTAAGTGCGCATGCTTCACTTCGGCAGCCCAGGGTTTGCAGGTTCGGATCCCGGGCGTGCACCAACACACCGCTTGTCAAGCCATGCTGTGGTGGCATCCCATATAAAGTAGAGGAAGATGGGCACAGATGTTAGCCCAGGGCCAGTCTTCCTCGGCAAAAAAAGGGGAGGATTGGCAACAGATGTTAGCTCAGGGCTGGTCTTCCTCACCAAAAAAAAAAAAAGAAGAAAACAGGTGGCAACCCAGATCTGGCGTTCAGGCTCCATAGTTTACCAAAAACACAATGGCTGACTTAGTGGGTGATAAAGTGTACTTCTAACTTTGGGAGGTTTGCTCTAGTTGCAGAGCATGAGCAAAATAAATTCAGTATTGGCCTCTAAAACAAAACAAAACAACTGCAATGACATACTATTTTGTCACCTGTTCAGCTGGGAAACATAACCCATGTGTCAGTGAGCATGTGAGGAAACAAGTGCTCCCCTCCACTGCTGGCAGCAGTGTCAATCGGAACAACCCAACAGAGGCAGTCTGACAATGTTGCAAATGTCCGAGCCCTTGGTCCAGCATTTCTACTTTTAGGAATCCATCCTGCAGATATGCTCGCACACTTACATTTGTGATATTTGCATGCATTTATTCACGTCAGCATTGTTGATAATGGCGGAAGATTGGGCATGACCTGAATGTCCATCAGTAGGGGAATGGTCAGATAAGTTACGGTATGCCTATAAAAAAAGGAACGAGGATGCTCTTTATGTACTGCAAAGGAAAGATGGCCGAGGTATATTATTAGGAGAAAAATTCAAAACAAGAACAATGTGTGCAGTATGCTAACATCTGTACAAAATGACAAATTTATGCTTATAAGATGTATTTGTGTGTATACGTGTGTATACGTGTGTATATATGCGTGCACTTTGGAAGATTTTGCTATAGTTGAAGAGCAGGAGCAAAGTGAATTCAGCATTGGCTTAAAAAATAGACAACTACAATCGCATACCACTTTTCACTGATGTGATTGCAAACATAACACAACCATGTCGGTGTGCTTTATGTATATGTATGTGTGTGTACGTGCATATGTTTGCGTGTATCCGTACAAAATGTCTCGGGAAGCGTATCCAAGGTGTTTGGGTTGGCTTTAAAAAGTGGATCTTGTTGGCTGGCTCACAGCGTGGGGAGGAAATGTTTCACTACGTGCTCTTTTGTAATTTTTGAATAGTGGACTGTGTAAATGTATTACCTATTCAAAATATTAAATTAATAAACCAAGCCAGGATATAGGGGAAATAAACAATACAACTGATAAGGCTTTAAAAGATACACTGAATTGTTTGCTCCACAAATAAGGATTTCATCCTTTTCTTAGCTGCTCACTTTTTTTTTTTTTAAAGTCTTTACGTTTCTGAAAGTTTCCAAACTTCCAAGAACCAAAAATATGCCTGTTCCGTAAGTGCTCCAAGATATAAAACTGGGCAGCCACTATCTGGTTCTATGAGTTGAGGTCAGCCTGATCTCCGAGGAAAACATTGCCATTTTGACAACAAGGGACTTTAAATCCTGTCTGAAGACACCCTTTTTATTACCAAACAGTGTGCACAACACATACGTCACCCCTCAGCCTCCCCAACACCCCGCCTCTGAGCCTCACCGCACCAAGTCTTCACTGGAGTCCAGGGGTGGGTGGCCCTGTGGACGGTGTGAAGTTGGACATGAGTATAGTTTTTTTCAAGTCCAGGTGGTACCAGGGTGTCCTGCCTTGTTCATCATAAAGCTATTTTTTACACTTTTAAAGATGTGAACTCAGCTCCTAAGAACAGCATAGGTATAGATGTCAAAAATATAACACTAGAAAATAAACTTCAGCATTTTAATAAATCACAGTAAGACATAATCAGGTAGACTTGATCTCAGGAGGATGGTTTAGTACAACAGACTAGAGGTGAAATATTAGCCCCTTTTAAAATTGCATACCTTGCTCTCCAGAGGTAACCACTGCACTGAATTTGGTGTTCGTCATTCCTTACATCTCTTTACACTTTGACTCCGTATGTATGTATCCTGAAACTGTGGAGGATTATTTTTTCACTTCACTATAGGCATTTCATACTGCAGGATGAATCTACGTATATTCTTCCACATCTGGCCTCTTTGCTTCTACATTTTGAAATTCATCCTGGTCCACACCTGCTAGAATCCAGCTCAGCCACTTACTAGCTGAGAGCCCTTGGCCAGGCTACTAGACTCCTTGTGCCGCAGTTTCCTCATCAATCAAATGGGTCGATCAAACAGCTCCCGCCCTCGGGCTGTGTGTGGCGGTAAACGAGTCAGTCTTTGTGATGCTCTGAGAACTGTGCCTGGCATGTCACAAGTGCTGTGGATGGAAGCGTGGACCTCGTTTCAGAGCTGAGGAAACTGAGTCCCAGAAAGGGTTTGCTGCTTGTCTCAGCCACATGGCCAGTGACGAGCAGAGCCCGAGGACCAAACAGGAAATGTGTCCCGTCTTTGTCCCTTTGTATCTCCCAGAGTTTGTAGCTCTATGTCACAGGGAGTGAGATAAACATCTGTTGTATTTAACTGAATTATATGGTTTTTTACAAACCTTTACTGATTCTCCAATGATGCTAATTTTATATGAACCAAGTACTTTTAAACAAATATTTTAAATTTTAGGAGCATAAATGGGTTTTTTTCACTGTAGGAAATATAAAGTAAGTCACAGGTGAAAGAGACCAACTCTGAGAAGAGATGCACAATCATTTATGGAAAAGTGAAGTTATTATAAGAGGAGCTGTTCTGATCAGAGTCCCGGCAGGAAACAGAAGGTGTCCTTGGCTCAGGCCTGGCACTTCCGGCTGTGGCTGAGATGTTGAAGAAGCCTGGACCTCCCCTAGTGTTCCTGGAACCCCTAGGAGCTGGGGCAGCTCTGAATTAGGGGAAATGGGTTCAGAAACACCCAACCTTTTTCTCCATCTGCCCTCCAAGATCTGGCTGCTGCCTCCCACCGATGAATCCAACCTAAGGCAGGTGCAGGCGGGGCGCCCTGGTGACGTCCCCAGGAAGGGTCAGCCTCCGGGGCCCAGAGCAGAGCCCAGAAGGGAGACTGACCAGCACAAATACTTCCTTCCAGACAGGAAAAATAGTCCTCCTCTTCATAGGGCTCTATTAAAATGCAATGATTATTTTGTTTTCTACCAGGTCATTGATGATATTATTGCAAACCAAGAAGAAGAGGAAAAAAACAAAAAGAAGAAAAAGGAAAAGAAACCCAAGAAAGCCAAAAAAGATAAGGGAAAGAAAGAAACAAAGGAAAAAAATAAGGTAAGGAATTTGGAATTTTAGAAATTTGCTTTTTTGCCTTGAATCAGTGGGATAATCTCAAATCTGTTGAGATTACAGTCATTCATTTCCTAGGAAACCATGCTCTCTACCAACTCTTTTTCGATGTTTTTTCTGTTGATTGACAATCGGCTGCCATCCCTTTCGTGGCATAAATACTTATTAGGATAAGGAGTGATTTCAACAACCCAGATACTTTCCACGTTTATTCACATATTTGACAGCTTTGAAGTTTCATTTCTCCGAATAAATGACCCCACTCATCTTTCCTCAAGGGTAGAGATAAGGAAAACGCTCGGCAAACCAAGTGACCCCGCGAAGTCAAAATAATCATATCTACTTTAACCAAAGGGAGTGCATTCAAATTTATCACTTCACATCGACATCTTGGATGTGTTCTAATGGAAGTTTTTGTTTCTCACTATCCAAAGGAAAGCATAGCTCAAACAGTGTCACTTGGGGCCAGGCCTTCCCTGGTCCCAAGCGGTTGGGCGTGGCAGTGGGGTGGGCGTGGCAGGCGCTGTTTTCTGGGCAGTGATTGGAGGGATCTTCATGTTCAACATGTGGAGAGGTGCCCTCCCAGGGTGGTTATTCTCCCAGTATAGACTCCTTCTATGGGAAATGGAACTTGGGCTGGAAACTCACATCATCCTAAAACGTGAATATGTTTACAGTAGCGTTTCTGCACAGGCAGATACTATTTCACAGCTGACCAAAACCTGATCTGAAATCAAATCAGGAGAATGGATCCTTGAGGGTTATGGTCCCTCTGTGACTCTGTCCAGGGGCAGAGACCCAGCTCCAGCTCAGGTAGCTGTTGCTGTGCTCCTCATGTCCCAAGAGATGGGTTCCATCCAACACTCAGACTTGTGAATTTCTCTGTGGAGAAAGCAACCCGGTGGGGTCTGGTAGACTGCCCCTGGGAACCCAGCACCATGTCACAGTGAACGAGAAACGGGACAGGCTGCGTAATCTAGGAGGACGAGTGATTGGACCACGGAGTCAGAAGTTGTGAGCAGGGGAGAAAGGGCGATGATGAATTTAAATGGCAATTCCCAAAGTCCACATAAAGGCAGGGTATGGGCAATGCGGATAAAAGCAAACATTCTGTTTAAACTTCCTTGGCCTGATTGGGGCCGACCAGCTGGAGGTGATGGTCCCTTTTGCAATGTTCATCTCCTGCACTGTAGTAAGTAGAAAATCTTTCACCTGCCGCATTTGTCTTTGTCGTCCTCTTTAACCATGTCCACTGTTGTTCACTGCATGAACGAAAGAAGAGAGACCCCTGGCTGCTCATTTTGGACAAAACCCACTCCACTCTAGTGAATGCTGAAGTGGGTCCCTCAGATGCCGCCTTCAGGACCGAGGCACTCAATCCCCAGCGACCCAGAATGTCCTGCTGATCACTGACTGTTTAGTCGCTCCCCAGGAGTTATTCTGGGTCTAAGGGAGCTGCTCCATGCAAGGTTATATCCCCACCCTCCTGGAGCAGCTGCATCTGAGGATAGCCACGCTAGGGCTCTCCTAGCTCCTGGGTTCCCTGTGGGATCAGCTGACTGCTCTCTTGCAATTGCATCACAGTTGAGCTTCTCCCTCTGCCCAGTGCTGCTCCCCTCCCTCCCTCCCTAATGGGTGCTGTTCCCAGTACACCACCTGCACTGCCTCCATCTGAGTGTTTCCAGGAAACCCAACCCGTGGGACCACCTATTGCCCCACTGATCTGCCTGCACCCCAAAAGGTCTCACTTCTTCCAGAAGAACAATAGACCGCTCACTCGATACAGTTTATTTTTAAAATCCTGCTCTCACTTGGCAAGATAATTTTGAAACATGCCTAAGAATAAAGACAATTGGAAGAATTTCAATTTTATTCTAAGCATCAATTCCTCTAAATATGCATGAGGGAGTTTGACACTTGCATATTAAAAATTCACTGTTAGTGAAGCTTGTTCCATAAAAATCTGAAATTATTAGCTACACAATCTGGTCTTTGTTGAGTGAAGGCATTTTATTAACTAGCTATTAAAGAGTCACTTAATGATGAACCGTTTGGGACAAAAAGTGAAGTTTAATACATCAGCATTTCTGAAGTGGTTGCAAATGGAGGAGAAAGTCCTTCAGAATTACTTGGAAATGAACGTATTTGTGAAAAGTATAGGTCTACAAAGTGACAATATGATTATTAAAAGAAGAAATGGTAATCTCTAATAAAAATTGATATATTTAAATTAAGTTGATATGCTTCTTAAAGATCAGATTATCTTTTCCACTGACTTTTAAAAGTCTTATTTTAGAATCAGTCCTAACGCATCTAAAAGCAATCCTGAGACCAGCTATTTAAATCGTGTGAGAAATGGTATTTTGACCTGTAGAATAAGACATCTATTATTCATCCTGGTTAGAGGGTCAGGCAGGGGAGAGAGGAAACTAGTTTTGTTTAACTTGTGTATATCCTGGCTTACCTCTAACCCTGTCTCTCAGTGGCAGAGCTGTGTGGTTATTCTTTGGGTATTTTTATAACACTCAGTCATCTATCAATTGCCAGCCCCATATATAGAGTCAGAAAACTTGAAAAAGACCTCATATTTAAAAAAAAAAAAAACAACTGGTAGGATTATCTGAATATTTCCACTAACCTCCATAACTAGAAAATAGACTCTTTTCAAAATATCACACAAATACGAGGTTGAAAGCTTTTATAAGTCCATGAGATAGTTACAAATGGCGTAAATAGCCTGGGTGGGGCTGTTGAGAGTGGCCTGGAGGGTGAGTGGATCAGAAGGCTGGGCAGAGACGAGGGATTCCAGGCTGGATTCCAGGCAATCTCCAGGATTCCGAGCCAAAGAGCCAAAGATTCCGGAGGACAACTTCAGAGCTCAGATGACATGAGGCCAGGGAGGGTGTGCATTGTGTGGGGCCTGCAAAGGTTGGAGCAGGCAATGAATGGGTGCTGTGGGGGCTGAGCGGAGGCTTCTGCAGAGAGAAGAGGAAGAGTCATCTCTCGGGGGAGTGATCTGAGTTCAGCGTGTTGTAGCCGAAGATCTGTATCATATGGCCGTGTTGTGGGATGGACTGTGGATGAGGAGTGACCAATGCAGAGAGGCCAGTGAGGTCGGGGGTGGGGGGAGGGCGGGGGCGGTGGGTAGCAGTAGTGAGATGGGAAGCAGGGTCAGTGCAAGGGGAAGTCCCATCTAAGGAGGAGTGTGGGTCAGGGGTCTGAACCCCTCTGAAGTTCGCATCCAACTTCACGGGCGGATGTTTTTAAAGTCAAATATCATTCACAAGCTTCAGAGAGAAGCGAGCATGTTCTGTGTACCTTGTTGATTTTCCCCTAAGAAAGTGAAGGAGGGAAACGAGCTGGGCTCATCGTCAACAGTCCAGTTGCCTACCTGCCCTCCCGCCCTGGCTCACAAAGACCCACGGTCACCCTTTTACGACTGCTTCCCCTTCCACCTCAGCCCCTTCCCGGGGCCTCCTCCACCTGTATAAACGTGGTCCAGAGTGACCTGCCCCAAAGCAGCCAGGGAGAGCTCCCCTTAGGCAGGCTGGTAATCGAGATTCTGAGGATTAATGAATGTCCCTACGGTGTCTTGAGATGTTTGAACCTGGAGATGACTGAAAGGAAGTTTTAGGGTGTGAACTTGTAGTTTCAAGGTCTCTGCTTGGATTTCCAGTTTATGGTGTGACTAGTAGTGTGAGAAAAGAGAGGGCTGTCATAGTGGACCTCTGTAATTGTACACAAGAACATTTTAAAATAGAATAACGGTGACTAGTAATCTTGCATTCATTTGATCATTTCATCAAGACACTTTGCAAACAATTTAACTTTTAAAGCATGAAAGTTTTCAATTTCTTATCTGGATCCATCTGGAGTCCCTCTATACTGAGATGCTGAAAGACTAAAGAAAACAGATCGATCCAGGAATTTTCATTTTTCAGTTTGGGGCTAGTGGAAGGGAAAACAGCAAAGCACCATAAACACCATCAAAGATGAGCTTCCAAAAATTGGCCTTTCCTCCATAGGCAAGAAAATGAACTTCTATCTAAACTTCACACCTGATACAAAAAACGAACTCAAAGTGGATCATAGACTTGCACATAAAACTATAAAACTTTTAGAGAAAACATAGGGGAAAAATCTTCAGGATTTAAGGCTAAGCAAAGAGTTCTTAGACTTGATACCAAAAGCACAGTTCATAAAATGAGAGATTGGTAAATTGGACTTCATGAAAATAAAAACCTTTTTCTCTGTGAAAAGGATGAAAAGACAAGCTATAGACTGGGAGAGAATATTTGCAAACTACATATCTGACAAAGGATTGGCATCTAGAATACATAGAGGATTCTCAAATTTCGAGTGTAAAAAACAATTAGTCTTTCTTTTGGATCTTTGGCTTTAAATCCATCTCTAAAGTATTGGGGATTTCAGATAAGGAGAGCCTCTGTTAAGAATACTTTAATAGAGGAGAATGTTAGTGCCAGAAGGACATTTTTCTGCAATCTCTGCAAATGTGCTTTCAATATCAGCGTAATTTCATTTGCCTCTCAGTCAGCTGTGGGGTCCTCACATTGGCTTAAGAAACAAAAATACAGAGAAGGAGCACTATGCAATCCATCCTTACAACTCTTTCCTCTTTGTTATTTTTCAAGCCATATGTGAAACCATTTGGAACTATTTTACATGGTTTAGACCTGTGCATAACACATGACCACGTGAATGCTACAGAGTCTTCTCTGAATTTACTCCAGCCATAAAATGACTTGACTTGGTGCTAAATTCTTCTGGGAAGATCCTTGGACCCACATACAGCACGAGTAGCTTTAAAAGCTCTTGTTTGTCTGCAGTGCCGCTCAGCCTTTCTCTGACCAGAGTGCCTCTTCTCCAACCCCTTGGTCCAAAGAGGGGCTCCACATTGAACCATTGAGCCAACCACGTTCTTATATTATT